TTGTCCGGGCCTCCAGCATCTTCCCCATCCTGAGCGCCATCCTGCTGCTGCTCGGGGGCGTGTGCGTGGCGGCCTCCCGCGTCTACAAGTCCAAGAGGAACATCATTCTGGGAGCCGGGATCCTGTTCGTGGCAGCAGGTGAGAGGCAGAGGGAAGGGGCGGCGGGCTGGAGCGGTCCCCGCGAGCGCGCGCGCGAGTGTGTGCGCGGGTCTGCCTGCAAAACGACCCTACCCCGAGCGCCCCCTGGAGCCCGAAGCCTTTCTAGGCTCTTCCCAAGCTCCATCGCCTCCCGCTGGGTAAGGTAGGTGTATTCTTCTTGGGCACAGATCAGTGTCTGGAGCGTAACCGAGTTTGCTGGGAGCTTAGGTTCCAAAGCCCGCCGTTCTGGAGACGGAAGGGGAGGAGCTTTGGAAAGGGGGTGGGACCTTGAGATGGGCTTGAGATCTTAGGGTTAGAGGGGCGGGGCTGGCCACCGAAGGGAGGGGCCAGAAGAGGGAAAAACGTGATTTGCTTGAGGATGGTGAGCAGCCTGCTTAGTAGATTAGCCAAGAAGGGGGTGGTTCTGAGAAACCGTGTAGAGATGAAGGCTGAAGGGGCTAGGCCAGTAAAACAGGGTGGAGGAGGGGCTAAAAAGATTGGGCGGTGCCTGGGAAATTCAAAATGGGAGGGATTATGTCATTAAGGGCATTATTAACCTGGGTGATTTAGGGCGCTTAGACCAACTCCTTGAGAGGCATGTTATTAGGAGTAAGACCCCCCTTCCCCTTTCTACTCTGCAAGAGTAGAGCTGGGAAATTCCAGGGGCAGAGTCGTTTGAAGGGGTAGAATAAGGAGAAGAGGGAGGATTTAGCATATTTAAAGAGCAGGGTATGCATGGCGTTGGGTCTAAATCTGCAAGGGAAGATCTGGAGGATCTGAAATTTGGAGCTAGTTAGGCCTGAGAGGGGTGTGGAGGAGCTTTGCCCAGACCCACAGTGGGCGGGGTTTGACAAACTGGAGGCGGGACCTAGAGTTGAATGGGAACCTGATTTATCAAATTTTAAAACATCAGGGGAGCGCCTGGAGTAAATACCCAGGCTGGAGAGTGTAGATCAGCAGTAGACAGGACCTAGAGAGATCACATCGTTTTATTCAAAGGGCAGACAGCGGAAACTGAGTTTATAAATTAAATCAACCAAGAAAGGACCTGGAAACCCAGGCTATGACCGTCTCATCGAGAATAGTGTTTGGACCACAGAACAGTGCAGCAGGAGCTTGGGCTGGCAGGGGCGGAGTCTAGGCCACCGAGTGGAGCTTAGACCATCCAGAGCCCTGTCTGTCCCATTCTATGTGGAGGGGTGGGGGTTTGGGGCCTAGGTCCTGAGTCGAGGTTCGCCCGGTGGGGCGGGGCCTAACTCCCTGGGTGGAGCTTAACCCTCGAGGGCAAGGCCCGGACTGCGGGGCGGGGCAGGGAGGGGCGGGCCCGGGCCCTGGTGGCCTGGAGGCTCCCCTCTAACTGTCCCCGCCCAGGCCTGAGCAACATCATCGGAGTGATCGTGTACATCTCTGCCAACGCGGGCGAGCCGGGCCCGAAGCGGGATGAGGAGAAGAAGAACCACTACTCGTACGGCTGGTCCTTCTACTTCGGCGGGCTGTCCTTCATCCTGGCCGAGGTGATCGGCGTGCTGGCCGTCAACATCTACATCGAGCGCAGCCGCGAGGCGCACTGCCAGTCTCGCTCGGACCTGCTCAAGGCCGGCGGGGGCGCGGGCGGCAGTG